AATTAAACTCACAGTTTTGGAGGCCGGGAGTCAGATCGGGGTGCGGGCATGGCCAGGTGCGGGTCTTGCAGGTGAGGACTTCTCCGGGGAAGAGGGGGGAGGGGTCTCTCTGGAGCCTTTTAAAAGGCACTGATTCTATTTACCAGAGCTCCTCCCTCGAGGTTTAAGCGCCTCCCAAAGGCCCCACCTACTAATACTATGGCCTTTGGGAACTGGGATTTGAATATTGAATGGGGGCGGGGAGACACAGACATTCAGACAAAGCACCCTTAAAAGGAAGGAGTGCATCGTTAATTGTCCAAGTATTCTGCTCACCCATTCAGGTAATGAGGAAGCACTGTGAACAGACACAAAAGTTACACTTCCAACATGTCACTATTTTACACACACACACACACACACACACAGGAACACAATTTCACTTGGGCAAAACCAAAGGCTAAGAGTATCATTATGGGGTAGACAATGCAAATTATTTTTATTATCCTTACGATTTTTCAAGTGCCTATCGTCTCTTTGGAAAATAAATAAAAGCTTACTACTCTGCAGAATTTAAAGAGGAAGCCCTGTTCACCTGTGCAATGAGACTCGCTGAAGAATCTGCCTGAGAAGACATAACTATTTGGCTAAGATAGTCATGGCCTCACCTTCAGAATAATCCAGAAGCAAATGCCTTCAAGTTTTGTGCCCGAATCTGTCCGCTGTCTGTGCTTTTGCATCAGAGCATCTAAGGTTTTCTGCAGCAGAACACACTCCCACGGCACCGCACTGTCGTTTCTCTGTTCAAGGAATGCAGCTTAAACTTATAAAAAGTTTTGACTTTACTAATGAATTCCATTTTTAAAAAAAATATATTTTATTGATTTCTTACAGAGAGGAAGGGAGAGGGATAGAGAGCTAGAAACACCTATGAGAGAAAAACATCGATCAGCTGCCTCCTGCACGCCCCCAACTGGGGATGTGCCCGCAACCAAGGTACACGCCCCTGACCGGAATCGAACCTGGGACCCCCCAGTCCTCAGGCCGACGCTCTATCCACTGAGCCAAACCGATTAGGGCATGAATTCCATTTTTAAATGTTAACATTTTTACCTTTTTTTTAAAAAAAAAATCTTCATCCAGGCATATGTCTATTGATTTTTAGAGAGAGGAAGGGACAGAGAGCAAGAGAAACATTGATCTGTTACCTCAGATACACGCCCCACCCAGGAACCCAACCTGCAACCTATTTGTTTTTATTGTTGATAGTATTACAGAGACCTGTCCCTGTGCCCACCGCAGCCTTGAGGCCCACAGTTCCTTTCAAGGTGCACAAATTTGTGTACTGGGCCCCTAGTTTTCATAATAAAATATTACAAGTTTTTTCCTTAAAATATGTATTCTTAGAAACATTTATGTAAGTACAGCTAGGTACTCCCTAATTCTTCCTCATAGCACCCCAGAAACCTCCCTGAACTTCATGAAGCTGGGCAAATACACTAGCCGGCTAAGCTAGGCCAAGAAGAAGCTTGCTACAAATGCTGCCTTAACCTAGGAAGATGGGCCATTTTCTAAAAGTGTGGGCACGCACGTACAGTGCAATTGAAACTTCGTGGCCAATGCGCAGAAGTCGGTATTTTGTGGAAGAGCCACACTCAAGGGGCCAAAGAGCCGCATGTGGCTCACAAGCGGCAGTTTGCCGACCACTGCACTAGGGGCCCAGTGCACAAATTCGGGCACCTTGAAAGGAACTATAGTGCCCTAACCGGTTTGGCTCAGTGGATAGAGCATCGGCCTGGGGACTGAAAGGACCCAGGTTTGATTCCGGTCAAGGGCATGTACCTTGGTTGCGGGCACATCCCCAGTTGGGGGCGTGCAGGAGGCAGCTGATTGATGTTTTTCTCTCATAGGTGTTTCTAGCTCTCTATCCCTCTCACTTCCTCTCTGTAAGAAATCAATAAAATATATTTTTTTAAAAAAATGGAATTCATTAGTAAAGTCAAAACTTTTTATAAGTTTAAGCTGCATTCCTTGAACAGAGAAACGACAGTGCGGTGCCGTGGGAGTGTGTTCTGCTGCAGAAAACCTTAGATGCTCTGATGCAAAAGCACAGACAGCGGACAGATTCGGGCACAAAACTTGAAGGCATTTGCTTCTGGATTATTCTGAAGGTGAGGCCATGACTATCTTAGCCAAATAGTTATGTCTTCTCAGGCAGATTCTTCAGCGAGTCTCATTGCACAGGTGAACAGGGCTTCCTCTTTAAATTCTGCAGAGTAGTAAGCTTTTATTTATTTTCCAAAGAGACGATAGGCACTTGAAAAATCGTAAGGATAATAAAAATAATTTGCATTGTCTACCCCATAATGATACTCTTAGCCTTTGGTTTTGCCCAAGTGAAATTGTCAGAGGCTCGCCCTGATGACAGTGACTGGTGCCCTGCCTTGGTCTGGCGCCCCTGCTCAACTGCTCCACCATCCCACCACCGCCAACGCCCACCATGTTCCATGCACTCCCCCTGGTGGTCAGCAAACATAGCAACCGGTTATTCAGTTGTTAGCTTGTCCCGGCGTTCAGTACATTTGTATATTAGCCTTTTATTATATAGGATATGTATATATGCATATCGATGGTATTCACAGCATACAGATGGTATTTTTAATGCCTTTGGCCTCAATATAATCATGGAGAAAGGGAATTTAAATGGAGAAGAGGCCTGAGTCCTAATCTAACCCATATCCCTGTTTCTAGATTGATCTTTCTAAAGTGCTAATCTATTTATGTAGCTCTCCCACTTTCAACTTTTTAACACCCTCCTATTATCCACAGGATAAAATCTTAAATAGCTATTATGGCATATAAGGTTCATTACAATTTGGTACCTGCTAATTTGCCCAAACAATCTTACTCATGGGGCACCTTCCATTGGCATTATAGATAACTACAGGAATTTCTCAAATATCCTACACTCTCAACTTCATCCTTTTCATACACTGTTTTACCTCCCTTCAAAGTCCTTTCCCATCTGAAACTCATGGTCTACCTGGTCAATTTCTTTTTGGCATTCAAAAGGCAATAACCTGCCCGACCACCGTGGCTCAGTGGTTGAGTGTCAACCTATGAACCAGGAGGTTATGGTTCTATTCCCAGTCAGGGCACATGCCCGGGTTGTGGGCTCCATCCCTAGTAGGGGGTGTGCAGGAGGCAGCCAATCAATGATTCTCTCTCATCATTGATGTTTCTATCTCTTTCTCCCTTTCCCTTCCTCTTTGAAATCAATAAAAATACATATTAAAACAAACAACCCTAGCCGGTTTGGCTTGTGGATAGAGCATGGCGCTCGGAGCATTGATTCCGGTCAAAGGCATGTACTTCAGTTGCAGGCTCCGGTTGCCCTTGACTGGAGGGCCCATGCGGGAGGCAACCAATTGATGTGTTTCTCTCACTTTGGCGTTTCTCCCTCTCTGTCTCTTCCCATCCTTTCCACTCTCTCTAAAAACAAATGGAATAATATCCTCGGGTGAGGATGAATAAAATGATGTTTTATAAAGACAGGGATTTTTGTTGTGGTTCAGTGCTATATCCCTACAGCCTGGAGCAGTGCCTGGCTCCTAGTAGGTGTTTAATAAATTGTTTGGACTGAATAAATGTGTAGAGCATGAGTTTTTGTAGTATTATTGTATTGATTAGATATAATTTCCATAAAAAATGTGGCATAAAAATGGTATGCTTCCTAGTCTTGTTCTTGTCTTTTTTTTTAATATATTTTATTGATTTTTTACAGAGAAGAAGGGAGAGAGATAGAGAGTTAGAAACATTGATGAGAGAGAAACATCAACCAGCAGCCTCCTGCACATCTCCTACTGGGGATGTGCCCACAACCCAGGTACATGCCCTGACCTGAATCGAACCTGGGACCATTCAGTCCGCAGGCCGACGCTCTATCCACTGAGCCAAACCAGTTTTGGCATTGTTCTTGTCTTTTAATATTTTTATTTTGATTGATTTCAGAGAGGAAGCGGGAGACAGAGAAACATTAATGATGAGAGAGGATCATTGGTTGGCTGCCTCCTGAACCCCCCACACTGGGGATCAAGCTGCAACCCGTGCATGTGCCCTTGACCGGAATCAAACCCGGGACCCTTCAGTCCTCAGCTCGATGCTCTATCCACTGAGCCAAACCTGCTAGGGCTAGTCTTGTTCTTTATATATATTAAACTTCATGTGGTTTAATTGCTTGATGCTTGCCTCTTTAAAACAAAAATAAGAGGTTTCTTCCATACTTAAAACTTTCCATGGCTCCCCTCACTCCCTCCCCCAATACCTCCAGAGTAAAACCCAAACATGAAGTCATGACCCCTGTTTGGCATCACTTCTGGCTACTTCCCTCTTCCCACATCAATCGTGTCTTTCATGACTTCATTCACTTTGTCATCTTCCTCAAGATGACCGACCAGCAATGAGGGAAAAAGAGATTTTTTAAAGGATTAAGTGCTAACCTTAGTAATGAAGCAAAGATGTCACTGGCGCTGTTAGATGAGGGAATATTACAGTGAATACTCATTACCACCCACTCTTTAAGATGCATGTCTGTCAAATGGGGTTGAAGCCCCCTCTCCTCCAACCATCTCGATTTTGCTCCCCCAGAAATGTTTTTACGGATTTTTTAGAGAAGGAGGGCCGGTGAGGGATAGAGAGCTAGAAACATGGATGGGCTGCCTCCTGCACGCACCGCACTGGGGATCGAGCCGCACTCTGCGCATGTGCGTGACTGGAAATCAAACCATGACTTCTTCGTGAGTCAACGCTCAACCACTGAGCCACCCGGCCGGGCCTGCCTTTTCGTTTGACTACATATGTGTGCCCCAGAGACAACACAGGCACTGCCCCTAGGCTGCCCCCAGCTCTCGCCCAGTGCTTCCTGAGGACAAATGACTCAGCTCCACACGCAGGAACGTCTCAACAGGGTGGAAACTGATGGGAAGACAGGGTCCCAGCCCTGCTCCCGAGGAGCCTGTAACTGGGGGGCAGCCAGAGCTCCGAGTGTAGTGATAGTCACGTGACGAGCACGCTGACCCACTCCAATACCATCCCTAGCAGCCAGCTCGGTGCCTGCGCCACAGCACCCACACCTGCCAGCCGAGGCCAAGGTACCTTCAACACAGTGCGCCTGACGAGCGCCAGAAGGAGTGGGCGATGCCAGGCCAGGCCCGGGCACCCGGCTCGCGCGCGCCCTGCAGGGATGGTGCGCCGGCCCACCCGGCCCGGGAGAGCACGCGCAGTCGTGTCGGGCGCTTCAGTGGGAGCTGATCTGCCTGCCAAGCGCTGGCACTTGGTTTCAGGAGCCAGGAGGTGACACGGAACAAGCGCTTGGCTTTAATTCTACGTTTTAAAGAGGAGGGTACAGAGCCAGCCATGGCTCCGTGACACCAGAAAGGCAGGCGGGGCATGTCGGCGAGGGGTGGAATGGTACACTCCGCCCAGAAAATGCCCCCCCCACTCCCCCCATCCCCCATCTTTGTGAGGACGGAGTGGAGGGCCAGGAGGAACCAGCGAGGGGCCCTGGAGGGTCTTCTACCCTGAAATTCTGCCTGCGCCCCCCTTGCCCTGCTCAGCGCCCAGCGCCCAGGCTTAGCTGTCACAGCTGGGGACCCAGTCTTCTCACCTTCTCCTTTGAGCTTTTCGCTCCTTTGCAAGAATTCAACCGCTCTCCTCCCTGTTTTCAAAAAGAACATTTAAAAAAAGAGGCAAAGCTCTGAAATAAGAAGGTAGATGGGCTTTGTTTTTATACCGTTTGATATCCTTTGCTTTAAAAATATAACTTCCTTGCAGGCATTAAGCACATTCTTTTCCTGGGCCCCGAGGATTAACCTCCTGCTGCGGGGGAGGGATCATTTTGTATTTCCTTGGTTCCTCTCAGGAGCCGAGCACAATCCAGCACTTGGTAACAAGAACCCATCTATTTGATGGAACAGGTAACGAATCTATCTCACTCGATATATTTACGATAAAATACAAATCAAAACTAAGATTACATGTATTCATTTCTCTCATTTTCATAGAGTACCCTGTTCAGATGATATACTGCAACTTATAAAATGCAAAAGGTTAAATAAATATGATAAAATATTTAAAAATGAAGGAGACTGACAAAATTTTGACAATTCACCAACACAAGGGAGTTTTTATCATTCATTTAGAAATACGACTCGATATTATATTCAGCCTATTTCCAAATAGGTATCTCTCTACCTGACGGTCAATACTCAAATGTCACCAAATTATTCGTTTTTTTTAATTAAAATTTTTCTTAATTTTCATATATGAAGAAATATAACACACTGGACAAGTTATAGAGTATAGTCTCAAGCTTATGTGGAATTATGACTGCTTTCAACAATTACTAAAATATTTTCAAAGAAAATCTACATATTCTTGTATGTCTGTCCCTGTAATAGACTAAGGAAAGTCACAAATCTGCAGTCTCAAAACAGCACATAACTACTAATGCAATGCCATAAACCAGCATATTTCCTTTAAAACTCACTAACTAATTCTAAGCACAACAAAACATGAAAAGCTCTCAGGGTTCACAAAGTCTTCTTTGGTTTTTTCTTCTCTGCTTCCTCCTTTTCCTTTTCTATTGCAATGACTTGTAATTCAATTTCCTTGGCACTAAACATCTGAAAAGAAAAAAATTTAAAAATTTTTTAAATAAATTGCAATTATACCAAACATTTCTAAATATTTACAATATGACAAAAACCTATTATCTATATATATAAAAGCCCAACGACCAGAATGGCAGACCAACCAGAACGACCGACCTGTGGCTATGACATGCACTGCGGCAGCCAACCAGCCTGATCCGGCCCCAATCAGCGCCCCCCTCGCTGGCCCCGCCCCTGATCGGGGTGTTGGGGGCTGATTGGGGGTGAGGTCAGCTGGCCAACCACCAGCGGCCCCTCCCCCTACCGGCCCTACCCAATTGGCTCCCCCACCCCAATCAGGAGCAGGGCCAGCCAAACCTCACCCGTGCACAAATTTGTGCACTGGGCCTCTAGTACCTTATAAATTTCTATTATCTATTTATAACTTCAAATACATAATGAAGTGTTTCAAAGAATCAACAGCAACATACTTGTAACTATTATGAACAAAAAACAGAACTCTATGACATTTCCACTATCGTGCTAATAAAGAAAGTAGGGTAAAATATGTTATTGCATTACATATCCTACATCAAAATATAACTCTAAAACCATTTTTAATGCAAGACTCACTCTGTTCATGAGCAAATAACTCATTACTGAACTCCACCCCCTCCTAACTGTGATTCTCTGACAGGGTTTCACTATTTTATCAGCTCATGGGCTGGCCATGAGAGATAAGGAAAAGATGATTCACACTGCTTATTTACAACTCCCTCACTGAATTCAAAGCAAAAATAATGTTTCTTTTATTTAAATCATTTTTATTTTATTTAAAGTCAAAAGATGGGAGCAAATTGCTCAAGGCCATACTGTTAAACAAACTGATTCGCTAGAACTTAAATCCAGGTCTGTCCAACTCCAAAGCATGTGTCCTATTTGCCACGCAGCCTATCCTGAGATACCATGTGGAAGGACACATACCAGCCTACCACTCAGAGGTAAAAACATATGTGTAAGTGTGTGTGTGTGTGTGTGTGTGTGTGCGCGCGCGCACGCGGGCACATGTGCATACATATGTGTGGGGCTGGAGAGGTGCCTCTGGTCTCTGGTTCTGTGTCCCTGTGCTGTTGGCATGTATGTCCTAGGCCAGTGATGGCGAACCTATGACACGCGTGTCAGAGGTGACCCGCGAACTCATTTTTTTGGTTGATTTTTCTTTGTTGAATGGCATTTAAATATATAAAATAAATATAAAAAATATAAGTCTTTGTTTTACTATGGTTGCAAATATCAAAAAATTTCTATATGTGACATGGCACCAGAGTTAAGTTAGGGTTTTTCAAAATGCTGACACGCCGAGCTCAAAAGGTTTGCCATCACTGTCCTAGGCCCTTGGCAGCAGGGCTGATAACCCAGCCCAGTTCCCATCTCCGCATTCTATGCTCAGTAGCTTGATTACTATGTGTGGCCGTGTAGGGGAAGACCTATCCCCATCCCTCTCTCTCTAATTCACTGAAACTCTGCTGCTGGCCTATCCTCTTATCCCCATCCATTGGTTAACTAATAAAATATGGGGATGTGGTATCATTACAACAAGAATCCCCCCCACATACACACTCCAAAACAAAACAAAAACCCCACTCTCCACTCCGCGCTGATTTCAACACTACTTCCCCTTGAAATATCTTCCTACAACAAAAGGAAAGGTACACGTATAAGACATTTGAGCATACTTTTCATGTTTCCCATGCTTTTGTATACTCTCAGCTAAAGAGAGCAAACCACATTGTAAAGTTCTACCTAATGAACAGCAGAGAACCATGTTTTGAATGCTCTTTAGCCTACGAATCCTCTACCATAAACTTCAGAGCCATTCATCATATTTTTCTGAAGAATTTATTTTGTGGTCCAGCAGTTGTAACTCATAACGGCTGACAAAAGGTATACAGATAACAGGTTAGACTCACCACAAAGAAACAGGCAAAGGGCATCACTCAAGGTGTTAACATTTAAGTCAACAGTGGCTCAAGGCACCTTTAAGTGGAAAGTGTAGAAAATAGATAAAAACCAGTAGCCAATCAAGAATAGGTGGAGGGTTTGTTGACATAATGAAGATCACATTATGTTAGAAGCCTGGAGGGCCAGCAATGATGTAAATGGCAGCTGAATGACACTAGCTGGAAGCATAGCTTGCTGTCGGAAGATCTTAAAATCTAAGAGTGGCTGCTCTCTACATGGTGGCAGGAAGGACTCTCCATGGGGAATGTGCTGTGCTGACCCCATGACATCTGACTCAGTCGGGTCCCTCCCTCTAAGAACACACACACACGGGAGGTCTGTGCATGGGCCTCAGCACCTCACAAAGGGCGAGGGAGAGGCGACTGCTCGCAATAAGCACATCACATCAGCGAGCTTCGCCTCAGAAACAGCCAGAAGCGGTCATCATATCAATGGTGCTCAGGGCATTCAGGCGACACATCTTAACTTCTGTCCAGACACACTACCGACTCTCCTTGTTGGTTAGTGACTTACTTTCAAAGGCTGGTTTCTTCTCATGATAGCAAGGTCAATGTTTTTTCCACCGGACTGGACAACCTAATGTAGAACAAGTTGGTTTTAGAATGACTTCGGGAAATTCTGTGTTTTAACAAGCAATTAAAGGACAAAAACCTCTGCTTTCCTGAATATCCTTTACTAGAGACCCAGTGCACAAAATTCGTGCACTGGTAGGGTTCCTAGCACTGCTGGCCAGGACCTCCCTCTCCTTTCTTCCCCTGGCCACCTGCTGCCGCTGCTGGCCGGAGCCTCCCTCCTTCCCCTGGCTGGCCCCGCCCCCTGGTCGAACTCCCAGATGAACTCCTGGTTGAGGGGACAATTTGCATACTACACTTTCATTATATAGGATTAGATCACTTACTTCTAGCAAGGCTCTTATTGCTAGTTTGATAGCTTCACTGTCATTAGCTATGGCATCTTCTGTGTAATTCTTTTCTAGAAATTCTCGGACAGTTTTAGCACTTCGGCCTATTGCATTTGCCTTGGAAAATAGAAGACAACGCTTAGTAATACTGCAATCTGAAGGAATTTATGGTTACTAAGAGAAGTTTAAAGGTTTACAGTTTATTCCAGCATTTCTTAGCATAATTGCTAAATGAAAATTGAAGGTTTGAAAACGTAGCAAACATTTCAGCAGCTCATTGGTCCCTCCCATGAGTAATCTGTAGCGCCGGCAGGAGTAACTTTCAGGCACACCCATGCTTTCTACCGGCCAATGCGTCTGTCGCTCTAATATTCCCAAGTTCTTGACAGCAGGATAGATGGAAAGAGCTGAAACGCCATGAGGTGTGGGGAGGAGAGGAGGTGAGACTTTGGTGCAAAAGGAAG